TCTCTCTTTTCTCTCTCTCTCTCTCTTTTCTCTCTCTCTCTCTTTTCTCTCTCTCTCTTTTCTCTCTCTCTCTTTTCTCTTTCTCTCTTTTCTCTTTCTCTCTTTTCTCTTTCTCTCTTTTCTCTTTCTCTCTCTCTCTCTCTCTCTCTCTCTCTCTCTCTCTCTCTCTCTCTCTCTCTCTCTCTCTCTCTCTCTCTCTCTCTCTCTCTCTTTCTCTTTTCTCTCTCTCTCTTTTCTCTCTCTCTCTCTCTCTCTCTCTCTCTCTCTCTCTCTCTCTCTCTCTCTCTCTCTCTCTCTTCTCTCTCTCTCTCCCTCTCTCCCTCCCTCCCTCCCTCCCTCCCTCCCTCCCTCCCTTCCTCTTTCTCCCTCCCATCCCTTCCTTCCTCCCTCCCTCTTTATCCCTTTATCTTTCCCTCTCTCCCTTTCTTTCTCTCTCCCTCCCAACCCTCCCTTCCTCCCTTCCTTCCTCCCTCCCTCCCTCTTTATCCCTTTATCCCTCCCTCCTTCCCTTTCTTTCTCTCTCTTCTCTCGAGTAATTTCATCCAACTCGGAGTTAATCTCGTGCGTTATTCCAACGGGGATAAATTTACCGTCAATTTTCCTCCCTTCACTTTCGCCTCGAGATTAAGAATAGGTTTAGTGGCCGGAACCTCCGACCTTACGAGTCTTGTCTGCTTCCTTATTAGTTTTCCTCTCTCTCGCTTTCTCTCTCTCTCTCTCTCTCTCTCTCTCTCTCTCTCTCTCTCTCTCTCTCTCTCTCTCTCTCTCTCTCTCTCTCTCTCTCTCTCTCACTCTTTGTGTTTGGTCTATCGCAATCATTTTTTTCTTATCCCCTTTCTCTCTCTCTCTTCCTCTTTTCCATCTTCCTCTCTCTCCCCTCTTTTTTCCCTCGCCTCTCTCTCTTTCTTCCTCCTTTCCCTCTCTTTCCTCTCTCCCTTCCAACTCTCCCTCTCCTTTCTCTCTCCCTTCCTCCTGTCCCTTTCTTTCCTCTCTTCCTTCCTTCCCTCTCTCCCTTCCTCCCTTCCCCTCTCCTTTATCTCTCCCTTTCTCCCTTCCCCTCTCCTTTATTTCTCATTTCCTCCCTTCCCCTCTCCTTTATCTCTCTCTGCCTCCCTTCCCCTCTCCTTTATCTCTCTCTGCCTACCTTCCCCTCTCCTTTATCTCTCTCTGCCTCCCTTCCCCTCTCCTTTATCTCTCTCTGCCTCCCTTCCCCTCTCCTTTATCTCTCTCTGCCTCCCTTCCCCTCTCCTTTACCTCTCCCTTCCTCCCTTCCCTCCCTTCGGAACCGCGGAGGATGAACGCCCATAACCCCGTAAGTCAAGGCATTCGAGTCGAGCGTTATGCACCATCGACACCATGATGCTTTTAGTCGAATTGTCATCCGGAAAATGTGTACAGCTCTCTTGACCGGCCCTCTGCGTTTGACAGGAAGGTTTATTGGCCCGCTTGGCCGCCTCGTTATGTGGGAACGCCGCTTCGCTTCTCTCTTCTCCCCCCCCCCTAAACCTCTCTTTATAAAAAGAAGAAGTTTAAAACGGAAATATCTGGGAGTTTGGGCGTCTTGGTGGAAAAAAGGAGGAAGAGGTTGGAGGGAGGGAGAGAGGGAGGGAGGGAAGGAGAGAGGGAAGGAGGGAGGGAGGGAGGGAGAGAGGAAGGAAGGGAGAAAGGAAGAGAGAGAGGGAGGGAGGGAGGGAGTGAGAGAGAGGAAGAGAGGGAGAGGGGGAGGGAGGGAGGGAAGGAGGGAGGGAGGAGGTGGTGGTAGTGGTGGTAAGGGGGTACGAGGAGGAAGAGAAGGGAGAGGAGGAGGAGGAGGAGGAGGAGGGAGAGCGAGAGGAGGAGGAGGAGAGAGGGAAGGAGGGAGGAAGGGAGGGAAGGAGGGAGGAGGTGGTGGTGGTAAGGGGTAACGAGGGAGGAAGGGAGGGAGGAAGGAAGTGGTAACGTGGTACGAGGATGGTAGAAGAAGAAAAGAAGGAAAAAGAAGACGAAGAAGGAGAGAGAGAAGAGGGAAGTTGGCACGAGGGTACGAGAGAGGACGAGGTGGAGGAGGACGAGGTGGAGGAGTAGGAAGAAGAAGAGGAGGAGGAGGAGGGGGAGGGAGGGTAAGGGGGTACGAGGCAGGTCTTCTTTGCTATCGTCTGAAAAGGTCGTTGTTCCTGTTTCCCGCCATTGCTTGGGGTCGTTACAGCTTCGGGGTCACGGCTTATGAGGCTCGGTTATGGACCTGAGGTGCACATGGGAACAAACATACACGTGTACACATTTACCAGTTCATTTTTTCTTTATTGTAAGTCTTTCTACCTTTTTTATTATTGTCGTTATTATCATTATTATTAGTAGTAGTTTTTGTTTGTTTGTTTGTTTTCTCTAATGAAATTATTTTATGCGTGTGTATGTATTGATTAATTAATTTAATTATTTATTCACCCATTCACTCATTTATTCGCTTACTTGTCTGTTTATTAATTCACTTTCGTCGTGATTATAGTTCCATTCTAAAGTA